CTTTCATACTCAAGCATATTTTTAATAGTATTTGATCTATTATTTTTGAAACTAATAATTTTTCTCTTTCAACAGCACGTACTTGCAGCTGGCAATGCCACATACAAAGTTCCCTCGAATGTATAACAGTTCTAACACAGGTGGGGATATTTCATTTGCTCTGCGCCTAAAAACAAACCAATAAATGTGTCAAACAGAGAATGCAATTTCTTGCTGCTTCTTCCCGTTTCGTACGCGTATCGTGTGTGTTGTACTTTTCCTCATCGTCGTTGTTGAAATTAAAAATCTATTGTTTTTAACTTCATATAATTTTTTTGTTTATCGAACGAACACAAAAGCACAAAACAACGAAATTGTTTCTTCCTCGTTATCGCCGACAACGTAAAATCGTTAAATTTCTCGAAAATGTGGCCCAAACGAATTGTGAACAACGAATTTTTCGCCGTGTGTCGGTTGTGAATCTCGGAACAAACGAATAAACGAACAAATCGACAAAAGAAAAATTAATCGAGTCAACTTTTAGGCGTATATACGTCAGCTGAAAGCTGAAATCTGCAAGCTGCTAATGTGCGGCATGATAAACCAGTTTGCATATTAATTTAGCACATTTTCATACACATACATTAGCATACATAATGGACACGACACATTATTTATAATGTAATTGGTACATTTCAATTTTCTCTACTAGCAAAAGTCACTCACTAAACACCCACAAAGCATACACGCACACTTGTACAGACACATAAACAAACACGCCCGCTTTGGAGCGCAGCAACCAAACACAAACCTTGAAAAGTCAAGAAGGTGGTCATAATATGAGAGAAAAGTGCATTAGGCATGGATTCTTTTGTCACCTTCAACTCTCGATGCGGTGCCAACTTCAAGGGTACAGCGCGTGGCAGCATAACACACACACACGCACTCACCTACACACATACACACAGATAGTTGCTTAGTTAAAGGGGTGGTTCCGGTGATTGCGCTCTGCGAAGTGTGACATTTAGTGCATTTCTTCATTACCAACGGCCACGCATTTGCGTGTGTAATTAATACTCCTACTTAAGTCTCATAATCGCGCAGTAACTCTCTAAACCCCCGCCCCCAGCGTTTGCGAACACGCCGSTACCGCCTGGTCTGCCGCAATAGTCCATCGTATGCGTATTTACTATCTGTGTTCCTCGGCAACGCCAACCAACACCCYACTCACCCAACAAATACATACGAAAAATAAACACACGCACACTAACTCACATTCAAAGGMATTTGTATGATTGTGGYGAGTGTGTGCGTGTGTGTGTGTGTGTGTTAAGAGCCAACCTTAACCCACGATTAATGCCACTTTCCTAAGCATTAGGCGCTATAACGTGGSGTTCTCTGCCCATCACCACTACAACTGCAACAACAACAACAATACTATTTATCTAACACAAGCACCACGCAAAGACACCCGCTATCAGCTGTCATTTCGTGGGAAATCAGTGCAATAAAGTGGTTGCCGTAGTGAGCTTTTAGGCGTAAGGTGAAGCTGAAGCAACAAAGCAATATTTGAGTAAATGTGTTGACAGTCAGAGCATTTGAACTCGACTTAATTATTAAATAATTATTTCTCAACACCTAAATGAAAAATAACAATAATTAAGACTTTTAGTGCTCAATATAGCAATAAAAGGAAATATATTATTTCGAAGAAAAAATAATAATAAACAAGAAAATCCAAAACTGTAATAAAATAAACGGCATTAATATGACAAAATATTTAAAAAAAAATTAAACAATGTCTCTCAAATAAATAAAATCATTAAACAAGAACTTAAATTATTTAATTAAATTATAAATATATAAGTAAAAGTAATGCAACAAAAAATAAATAAAAATAGTATTTTAAAATTTTATAAAATTAAGAAAAAAACTAAACTCTAAATAAATAGCTAAAGAACTTTTACTGCATAATATATCAATAACAAAATGTATATTATGAACTTAAAAAAAAAAACAAAAATAAATAAATTAATTAATCGAAAACAAAACAAGAAAAACGTTGACTTTGGTTGCACCGAAGTTATAATACCATTCACAAATTTAAAAAAGATAAAATAATGTGGCTACAAAATAAAAAAAAAACTAAAATAT